ATTAATGAATGTAATTGTAATTTATTTAAGCGCATTTCCATTTGCGACATTTGCCGAATGGAATTAAACGTTTCGTTGGTGTTTGCGTTGTTTTTTTTGTGTCGGTCGGCTTTAAATGTTGTGTTGCGCGTGTGCTCGCAAAACTACACGATCGTTGAAATATAATCATATTTTCATGTGTCATCTTAAAATTTATTAATCTCTGTGGCCGTTTTGTGGCGAAGAAGTTACAGATACTGAAGAAACCGTACTGCACACAAATGAAGTCGACGATTGTAAGCTATTTGCGTATGTAAATTACGGTGCAAAAAACTCAATATCATTGCCTGTGTACACGACGTGCAATGAACGTTAAACTAGACAAAACAAACGGAGCAAAAAAATGCAGTCATAGTGGAATGTATTTACTCGAGAGAAAACGACATAAACGCTTCTTTCACGATATATTATTCTTGTCTTTGAAAACAGCAAAGAACAAAAAAAACACACTGATATTACCACATTATTATTAGTACAAAGAATATCACGAATTAAAATCCACAACTCTGGCGCACGAATCAAGCCGAAAAAAATAGTGAATATGAAGAGTGAACACCGCACAATAGTCACACACACAACAACAACAACAAAAAAATCAAAGTAACACACAAGTTCATTTAACCTGTTTCCATTCATTGCCATCCAATGAGCGATGATACTTTTGAGTTCGCATCATTCTTGCACAAGCTTGTGCGCGTTCGCAACCATCATCATTGTCGTTCTAGCCGCCGTTCAAATGAAACCAAATCTAGATAAACGATTTACTTCTATCACGAATCAGATTAAAAATATTATATACAAGTGGTTCTCATCTGCAATTTTTTTTCTCGATATCCATTTCGCTCGGTGTGTTGTTTGGTTAATGATGAACACCATAAAACGCATCCATTTTTCATTTTCAATCGAGTTAGAATAAGATTATATGCAGCCGAGATCATTTCAGATGAAAGCTTCGCATATATGGCGTTTCTATTTCGCAATCCGATTTTATCCGATTCGAGCCTTTAAGGTTGGGAATTTTCACCACACCAACAACCCAAACACCAGCCACTAACACTCGCACTCTCTTTTTTTCTTCCTCTGTGTCTCGCTCTTTAAATTTTTATATTTGTTATGATTTGAGGGAAAAACATAACTATTTTTGCCTTGTCTATGCATTTCGATGGGTTCTCTTTCTCTCTCTCTCTCTCTCTCTCTCTCTCTCTCTCACTTTGGCTATTAGTAAATGCGACGATATCAAAAACTGTGTAGATTTATGCAGTGATTGAGTATCCATTTTCGTTTAAATGAGCAATAAATGTTTATAGAGTTATATAGTGCCATAGCAAGTAATTCTCGAAAGTTTTGTGCTAAAAAGCGATATGTTTTCGTAAGCGATACGAAATAAATTTATTTTAATCGTATTCCATTTTACAGCAAATTGTGCGCATCTTCGATTATGCACATGGTAACGAACGAAAGAGACAAGATGTTCAAATTCCATTTATAAAATGAGGCATATCACATCACCGACAAGAAAATGGAATCGAATACGAAAAATAGCCGGCATAAATGAAATGAAATATGGTCATGAAATAATATGGTCTGCACAACTGCGATTAAGACCACAGAAAAAAAAAGAGCAGATCGAGAACGAAGACGACGACGGCGGCACAGGTGAATTGCATGTTGATTAGCAATTCATAAATGTTTTCGAAAAAAAAAAAGAAAGAATTAAAGCGCGCGATTTGCCCCACGGCAAATACATTCTGTATGCCACAATTTATACAATCCATGGCTCGACACACAGCCGAGCTTTTCACTATATTTTTCGCATTTCATGTGGCACTATAAATATTTAAAAAAAGGCTTTTGCAGTAAATATGCGAGAAAGAGATATATTTATTTATTTGTTAAGTCAAAACAAAAAAGGCATACTTGTACACATTACACACAATTTCCATTCGTAGTTAGTTGGCATTTTCAAGTTCTCATTTTTATCTGATGCAGGCGTTTTATTTACTATCGGCACTGTTCGATTTGCATTTTTCATAATAATTTTTCTTTTATTTCGTTCGTTTTTTCCAGCTTGGTACTCCAGTGAATGGTCAGCACAGATATAGTTTGGACTTGCGGTGCAATGGTTTATTGCTGGCGGGTGGATTGAAAACGAGCTAAAACAAATCGTAAAATGACGTTATTGGTTATTAATTCGCATTTTGCTGTGCGAATTTAATTATAAGTGAAGGAATGTGTTAACCTGCTCATTTCTCTCTCTATCGATCAATAATTTATTGCACACTGATCACACACTCACTGTTGTTCATGTTATCGTTTGTCCATTCAGACCACGAATAATTATTACATTACAGCTAGTGAGCGATAAGAATTTTAACCATCGAAAATATTTAGCATTCGTGCAATTTTTACATAAAATGAAACGCAATTTTGTCACGGAAGGTAGAACAGCTACCTCTCTCTCTCTTGCTCTCTTTTTATTTACTCTCAAACTAATATAAATAATAATTTATTCGAAACGAGGAGCCAAGCTATGAAATAATTGGCTATTTGCTGAAATATTTTTCAAACTGAAATAAGAGACACCATCGTTCTTAAATCAATAGGAGATTCTTCTCGAAATATAGCATTTATAGTCTCATTTAATAATCAAAATGGTTTGCTCCACAACCTACGTAATCCATCGTTGGTCATTAATTATTTTGCTCTCAAGAGTTGGAATTATTCGTGGAATGTTTCGTGAATTGGCCGCACAAGAAGCATAAAAGACTAAATCAAATTTGTTCGCATCGATCAGATACCACATTACTCAATAATCACTACGGTCAAATCGACAAATTGATCTGAATAAGTGTGGATTTATTCTTCGAATGAGAAATAAAAAACTATTCGATCTATAAATTAAATTATATGATAATTCGATTCCATTTAACACATTAATATGCTAATTTTATTAAAAAAAAAAAAAAGATTTTCGATTTATCTTAGCGATTCGGAAGAAAGTAATAATTCATTGAGATGTGACCAAACTTGAATTGTTCGGATTTAAAGATAAATCATCTCTTCAAAACCAGCCAGCAATTCTAAATGAATAAATATAAATATTTCCATCTCTATGGCGTAAGCGTCACATACACGCGCTCGATCGCTTTCAATGAAAAAAACAACAAGGTTTCGACGAACCGAACACAACCAGCCAAATGACAATGAATTCAGTGTATTTTGTTGTTTATCTTTAATCTCGTAACTCAATGTATGCTTAATAGAATATGATTGTCATATACATTGTTGCACGCTACTAAACGCACTACTTCGTTTTCTATGCCGTTTCTTCTACCATCTCCTGCCAGGTCTTATAGGCAAGTGACATCGAAGTCGAATAATAATCATGTGTCATATGTGTGTAAAATGACATACATACAAAAAAAAATTGAAATACAATGAAAAATGAACGTTTCTATAAGCTCAGAAACCGAAACGAACACAAAACAAACGACAATATATGTAAATGGCGCAGCACAACAGTGGCAATCAGAAGGGAGTATTGGAAACATGATATGAAAATCGTTTGTTTCTTTGTTGTTTCCTTTTTGTCTTGTCATCTTTCGCAAACACACGGAACTTGTGGCTTTGGTGACTATCGGTCACGATCAAATATATTAAAATGACATTTAATTGAGCATTTTTGTTTGCGCTTTAACACCATTCATTTCTTTGTATTTATTTCAACTCAACATTTCTGGATTTACACAATTTTCAATGTGACTTCCAAAATATGTCAATTTTCCATCTCTTTCAAGTGAAAATAAACTTTGAATGCATTGACTATTTATTTATGCGTGATAAATGAAATTTTATTAAAGTTGTATCATTTGAGTCGAAGAAATCAAGAAGTTTGTGTGGACAAACTGCTTGACAATGCTCATTAATATAAATGGCAAAAGCGTTTTGGTTTTTATGTAAATAACTGCTCAATTCATATGTACATAAATTTTCCCCATGAAGTGTTTCCGAATTCATTATATTCGATCTGTTCGGATGATAACACCACCGACCATTTTTCCACTCATTCAACCAATTGACACATTGAAATCAATTCGTATGATGATTACCACGTGATTTTTCTCTTGTTCAAGTGTGTGTGTGTATCGTATGTTTATGTGAATTTTTATTTAGATTTTTCCTATCTCGAATAGAAGACGTGTGCACGCGTTTCAAGAGACTGACGATCACCATTCCCATGCATATTTAAATTTAAATCGATGCCCTGTTCTTGTTATCAAGTCGATCTAGATTTTTGATTACAACGTTCATTATATATTTATGATCTTCCATACGCATCACTCAAGATCAACTGGCCGTAAATAAATATCGCTTTTGAATCGAATTAAATCATCCGGTACGTATGTAAGAAAAGAAGAAGAATCGACTACGTAGCCATATATGCTTACATTAGACGCTAAATGTTCAACATTTCATGTATGTAAATAACACCGAACAAATCTTTGAGAATGCAGGAGTTCAACTCTTGCATAAATCTAAACAAGCGCAATACACAACACTACATCGATCGAACAAAAACATCTGTAAAGCAATGTGACACGAAATAATCATATAGGCAAATGAGTTTTTTTTTTCGTCGACGTCGTCGTCGTTTCTAGCCGAGATAAAATGTGACTTCACACAAAGTGTGCGAACGAGAATCAATGACCGAGTGTCATACCAACTTTGGTGTCATTCACTTATTTAAATAATCCGCCGTTGGCTACCCATTAAGCAAATCCAAAAATGGACAGATTTTGCATGTGCATTAAGCAAAAAAAAAGCGAAATCGTCATTTTCAACTGATCGAATGACCTGACACACAAACAAAAACATCAATTCAATTGCGTTCTTTTCCGTTTTGTTATTTTAGTATCTTTCCTCTGCCGCGGTTTTTTTTTTAAATACAAAGTCATATATTTTCACTTTCGACTGTCCTCATCTGTGTTTTCATAAATACTGCCGATTCGCGGTTGATTGTCCTGTGGACGAATAACAAAAATAAGAAATTAATTAATTTATTATATTGCTTAACATTGCCCAAACACTTTCTTTATCAAAAAGCGCAATAATGTATACTTTATTTGTTTCTGTCGGTCACAAGCGGTGCGAACATATGTAAGTGTTGTATTTTTCTCTTGCGTCGGTTGCAATTGTCATATGGTCAGACGCAAAATAGCGGACAAAAGTAGAAAATTATGACAATTCGCTTTTTGACAAATGAACTTACAGATATTTCCATTTATGTAATAAGTAAAATTGAATAGGTGACCCGACACATGCATGTAAAAAATACAACTTTTTCTTGCAAACACCTTCGAACCAAGTGAAAAATCATAATCCGCTATTAATTTCAGCCACACTGCAGTGATAACGGATGACAACAACAACGAATTCACAAAGCAACGACAATTTATAAAAGTGGTGTGAGAATGGAAAGAAAAGAAAAACGAACGCCAGAATAACATCATTATTTCATCGCAAAATTTCGATGATCTTCTCATTGCTCCATTGCTATGGAGTAATACGCACTTTTTCTGTGTGACGTACATGTATACTATACACTCTTTTATATGATTACTTCATTTATGTTCTGTCGATTCATTTGGTGTTTTTCGTTATTAATGAACGTTTCGATCCGAAAAAAAAAAAACAGTGCCCGAACCGAAGAGACCACATATTTTGTTTGGTTACGTAAACGTAAAACATACAAGAATATTTGTCATATGTGCGGTTGACATGGATGAATTGAATATGGTATTGGCAATGTGACGGTGAAATTAAAACCGATTATGATGTTATTTTTTTGTGTAAATAAACAACGCGCGTGCAAGTGATAATAAATTGTCTCATGGTAATCGACACACTTTTATCGAATTTAATCGCTAAATGATTACTCATTCGCCACGGAAATCGAAAATTTAATTTTATACGTAATGGATGGACGAATGTGCACATTGTAATGAAGATGGCTTCAGCGGGGGAAAGTGAAAAAGAAACTAACGTGCTTAAATCTAATTATAAATTGGAGATAATGCTGACCATTCTGGGATAATTTCATCATATTAATGGTTTATTGAATTTAAAGAAAATTTTCATGTGTTTCATTGAAATATTTTACTTTTTTATTGAAGATAATCATTCTTGTAATAGTTTCTTTAGTTTAAACATATTTAAGGTAGAATCTTTAAGAAAGAAATAATTACCGATTGATATTTGTATTTGTTATGCAATCAATTTTACAAAATTTGTCAGTTTTTCCCCAGAATTCAGCTCTTGCATAGTGTTGTTTTCGCGGTTACATGATTCGGTGTTGCACAGGTAGCACAGTTTTTTACTTGTTGGATCATTTCTCATTTGTTCCAAGCACTTTGTTTGAATATCAGGATGAGCTTCGCGCAAGCATCCTCGTGTTATATTATGTTCTATGGTTTTTCAAAAAAAAAAAGCCATAAGAGAATTTTAAAAATGATGCATAAAGTGTGGAATTTTGAAGACTAAATTTGTATTGACTATGAGTTTTTACCTGAATGGCGATAAGAATAACATTCATCTGGATAAAATCTACAAGAGTATATTCCCTCATGGGAATTTGCGCTATTCATTTGATCACAAGCATGTCCAATTGGACATTTAAAACATTTTATTCGTTCGGTCGGATGAGCATTCCTATTACAAAAATCGCCAAAACATTTATTATATCCATTCGGTGCGGGAAATAATAAGTCATCTTCCTTTTTATTCGTGCTACATTTACGATGCGTATAACCATTTGAATCAATGCCCACCAAACACTGACTTGTATATCCAACGCATGTGATTTTCGTATGTTTCGATGTTATTAGATGACAATTCGGATCTGTTGTTCCATTGCAAAAGTAGCATTGTTGATGTAAATCTTGTTTTTTATTACAATTTGGTGTGAAACAACTTTGACATTTACTCGATATGGATGTTTGGCATTTCGCTCTTTTTTCTTCAGCTAAATTGACCAAACATCCGCGCCGATAATCATCATATTTACTCAAAAAACAACCCGATGATTTTTTCCCGAAAGAACATGCTCGTTGCATGTCAAGTAAATTCGATTCCATCGGTATCTTACACTTGTAACCATCACACACCAAACACGTATCTTCGATCTTATCTTGATTGCAAAAATGATTGTTGTTGCACAATTTTATTGAATCTATCATAAATTCGTACGCTGTTATGTTTTTAAATACCGTATCTCCTATACACCCTCTCAAAACTTCACCGTTTAAAATGGATGTGTAGCATAGTCCAAATTGGCTTGCACAATGCTCAATTTTATCATCATTATCAAGACGAAAACAACGACTTCCAGCAATTCTTGAATCACAATCGATACATTTCAATCGACCAACAGGCTCAAGATTTATGTCTGGAAAGTCAACTTCTGGAAGTTCAACTTCTTCAGAATCTGTCGGATCAATATTTGGAGGATCGTCTGTCTCATGAGAAATATCTTCTGTATCATCTGAATCTACATCTTCTATATGATCTGTATAATTAAAATTGCCTACGAGAATCATGAAAAATTCCGTTAAAACAATGTGGTCATTTCCATTCGAATGTTACCTTTAACTCACCAAATGTATTGAAATTGCTCAAAAAATATATTAAAATAACTAGAGTTAACGCTTTCGATTTCATAGTTATTCCTGGCAATTTTTTCTCACTCAGCAATACCTTTGAATACACTTTCTATCAAACTAACGTTGGAATGGAAATCGATGTTCTTAAATATATGCATGCTCAAAGGTTAACCGCCTTTTCAATATAATGCTTATCAATGATTGGATGCGCTTGATTAAATTTATTCTTTTAATTAAATGTTTGATCGTCAAAATCAAATAATTCCGTAATTTGCGGCCTTTTTAGTGACCTAAAAATTAATATTTTGTATTGTTCTCAAAATATTTCGGCGTTCGATTGATTTTTTTTCGTATTTCTGAGAACATTGCCAAACTAAATTCTTTCATTTTCCGAATGAATTTAATCAAAATTCAGTATATTCATTTTAGTCGGGAGTAATAACGTTTTTTTTTTTGCTATGAAAATGTTCACACTCAATAAATCGTTATTATTTCATGTTGCTAGGAGTGTCATAAATCTCTGCTTAATGAAATATTCACAAGCAGCAATCCATTAAAAGCAGTGAATGCCTTCATTTGCTTTGAGCAATCAGTTTAAATAACCTGTTGATTCGTTAGGTTTGTCAGGTTATTAGATGAAACACTAAAGCGCACCGCATACGAGTACAATAATAATTTCTCAAGCGAAATGGTGTTAAAAAGGTCAATGTGTACACATTTCGCATCATTCAAACGATATCACAATCAAATTAATTTGACACGGTTTTTGAATTTTGCGAAAGCAAAACAACCACACAGCGAACGAAAAAAAACCCTGCATATACACATAGTATTATTTTCGGCTGTTCGATTTACAGTTTACACGGTCAAAATTGGTGTGATTTGAACGAAAGAATCTGGCAATGCGAGGAAGAAATGCTTTCGGTATATTCTGTGGAATCATGATTGCCATGAGTTGTGTCTTTTCTCGTATTTTTTTTCGTTCAAATGAGATTCCGAGCGCATCCGCTGTCAACAATTTATAAAAAGCATAAAATGCAATAATAAATTGGTTTTTATATTTTTTGGCGTTCGGCACTTTTCTCTTTTTCTCTCGCATTTCGCCGAAGCAAATCGCGTTTACAATCAATAAATATAAATTATTCATTAATTATACACATTGGTCCGTTGTGGTTGTTGTACTTCATTGTCGAATCGAACGGGGGGGACGAGCCTGATGATGTTGGTTTACTTCGTGTTTTACATAATTTCAATCTGTGTGCGAAATTCATTTCAGAAAATGTGAAGCCTATGCCGTTCGTATGTTCCTGCGGCTGGCCGTGTCGAAAATAAACAGTTGAAAATTATGAAAATTACATGTAACCCAGCCACATCAACGAAACTATAAAGAGACGTGAAATGCAGAATCAAACCGAAAAAAAAACGCGAGAGAAGAATACAGCGCATGTGATTGTCAAAATTTATGACCTTTAAGTTTGATCCTCGTTCGTAAGAAGATGAAGGGAGAAAAAAGCAACAGAATAAAGAAAAAAAAACGTGTGAAAAGCCTCGTTTGGCTTGAATCGGGGAATATTCTGTTGCAACGTTGTAAAAGTGTGACACATAATGTGGCCTGTCACTATTGCAACTGTTGTAATGTATTTTATCGCTTAATGTCACTTTAATATCTTTATTAAAAGCCATTTTTTTCTCGTTGTGCGTACGTCTTTGCCCGCGCAACGACGACCAATGAATATCAATTAAAATCCTCGAGCGATCTTATGATTTTATCAATATAATTTTTTATGCAAATTAATCGCCGCAATGGTCGTAAAGAGTAGTTTTGCATATCATTTGCATAAAATCAAATGCGATCTCAATGTGTCTGATATGTAATAAATTTTCCATTAAACAAGCAGTCATATTAAAGAGATGTGACGTGTGAAATCGAGACCGCCTTTTACACACATTTTCTAATGAAATCTGAGCAAAATACATCACAAACTTCGATCTCTTTGGGCCTTGTGGTTGTTGTTGCTGCTGCTGCTTTTTCTCTATTTCACATTTACACTGAATAACATGTAATATTATTTTTGCAGCACCTTGCAACACAATTTCATTTCGAATGAGTTATTTTTATTGTTTAATCTTTTCTAGTTCTCTCTCCTCTTTACCCCGCTCTCCCTCTCGAGATGTGGTGTTTTGTTCTGGTCTCACATTTGTGTTTCGTTGTCGACGAGCGATTAAATTTTCTCTCTTCACAATGATAAATCACCAACGAAGAGAATTATGACCGAAGCATTGGCATGTTATAAATATGCCATGTCTCGGCAGAAAACAAGACACAGGTGAAATTGAATCACATGCATTGCCTCGGGATGCATATTCTTATATACCGGAGGATGATTTTTCATACATTAATATTTACATACGTCAAACAAGCTAACACGGATCAAGACAAACGGATCCAAACCGTCATCCACAGCGAATAACCACGAATCAAATGAAAAAAATAAAAAACAAAACGATGAAACGAACTTTTGCATTTATATATCGTACTATAAATAAATGAAACGAAAATAGCGTGAAGGAAATGAGAGAAAACGCGGAGAAAACTCACATGGACCAAAGTATAGAGGTAATAAATTATTTAAAATGCACAAGGTAAAGAGCATGGAAATTAACTCACATATATTTGTATACAAATACATTGTAAACACCCATACACCGATGCTGAAATGATTTTTGCTTTAGAAAACAATCATTTAATCACGAGTATATTATAAATTGGACGATTGAGCAAGTGTTTTTCTAGTATCTGAATTGTTTGTATTCACGCTTTTGTTGTACAACATATACTCTTTAAGCATGTGGATAAGGTTATGATTTGCTACGAGACGGAATCGAAATGAAAATGTAAGCATACACATGCACATTTGAAATTTTTCGACGGGAGAAATATGATCGCCGACCGATGTGAGAATAAAACACAACTGAGATGGTATGTGACACGATTCGCCGATGGCAATATATATTTGCTCTAAAATAACTTTTCTTTCGGTTTGGTGGCCGAAGCCGCGTATGAGCGTACCAACCAGCCATATATCGTGTGTATGTTTTTTTTCTCTTTCATTCTGTCGATCCAAATATCGAGGCTAATTCTATTCGCATACCATTTCATTCAATGTATAAATCGACGTCCATTTGTTCAACCTGATTGTTTTTGTTTTTATTATTTCCATCAATTTGTTGAAGCCAAGCGGCTTCGGTGTGCAGGAATGTTTGGCATTATTATTAAACGGTTAATAATATTTTGTTGTCAGTGCGCGCTTGTTTTTTTTTTTGGTTTTGTTTTCTTACACTCTCCTTCATACGGACAGCATGTGTTGGTTGTTGTTGATTTCGTTCAATGCACTAAACGTATAAACAAAGTCACGCACGATACGGTTTTCTAATAAACCGAAGATATTCAGCGAAATTATTTGTACATACACTTTTTATATGAGTTCGTGTGCTTTCATTTAGCCCTGGTCAATGTGGTTCATTTTTCGGACACGACACAAATGATCGGTGATACTTATTACTTATTTGATTGCAACACACACACATATACTCTCGTTTGGCCTGCAGCATTTCTATTTGCATTTTTATTCGTTTTAAAAGGCGAAAATCAAATTATTGTAAACATTTCGTGAGAGTTTTTGTTCCGTTTTCTTTCAAATGTAATTACCTAATAAATCGGATTAAACAATAAGATTAATAACAATTCGGTTGCAGTAAATCACATAATTTTCCAAATTTTAAACAACAAAAAGTTGTTATATATTTTTCCGCATGATTGAATATAGTGTTTCCATTTTCAATGATGTTCGTCGTTAATCCGCGTGTTCTTATTTCCTTCGTTCGTTTAAATAGGGAAAAAAAGAGGTGGTTACAAAAAAATGACGATGCCAACAAGTGCGCATACTGCACAATTTATGTGCATCGGAAACAAGGGATAAGATGAAGGAATAAAAAACAATTACGCTGGAAAACAATGCAATTTCTCGTTTCTTCTCCTCCACTCAACGTATATAAAAAGCAATCAATTTGGTTTCGTTTGGTACTTGTTATCAACACGATGCAACGCAAAAGTCACATATACAGCGCGATGGAGTGAGAGAGCGAGAAGCAGAAATCCGCCAGAAAATAATTGAAATCAGAATTATTTCATGTTGTGGAATGCATTGAATGCATACGACAAGCCAAAGCGATTGTGTGGTACAATATTTCGATTATTTTAAGTGAATAATATGTAACAGAGAATTCGTTGCGTTTTTTTCTTCTATACTTGCATTTCGACAAAGTCATCGTTATTATACCGCGGTATAGGGTCGAGCGCGCGTTCTGGGCTGCTTTGTATGCGGAATTGGGCAAATTGAATATTTGCTGGTTCGTTCAATGGCCATTGCTGTTGGACGCTGTTCATGTTGTTGTTGCTGTTGATGTTGAATAACATGACCAAGCCTTCTTATACAAAGCCGGTACACTTGTTATTCAAAGTGAAAAATTACTATAAATTATAATGATCCTTGAGGGCCTCTGTTTTTATTTTTAACAAGCTCCATTTTTATCTATACAAATTCCACGTAGTTATGTGTGCTCATCGATGCGTTGGCGCACTGCAGTCTTTTCGCTAAACTGGCTGCATGTGGACTTGCCGATGTGCTACTCACATGTGCTTCATCGAGAACTCTTACATACTTCATTCGAGAGCTGTACAATCAACGTGTGCGAACGCTCGCAATTCAGGATCGAATCATCGATGACTGAGAGAGCTCGAGAGACTTCTACTTTTGCTATGATACATTATGCGCGCATTTTATTTACAAATTCGATTTTAATTTAAAATAATATGGTTATTTACCGGCCAAACGAAATGCAGAGTGAGCAAGAAAGCATTTATTCGCAACATGGCCATGCATTCGCATGATCGCTTTTTTATTGAGCTTCATAATCACCAAATGATAAAATAAATAGAGGTGCTTTTTAGTATAGAGATTTCGTATATCATCTGCAACCAAATATATATATACATATATCTCGTTCATAAGATCGAACAACACGAATATGTTGTTCAA